TTGGGGAGTCTGCAGATTTCCATGGTGGCACGGGGCATCACATGGCAAGGGGGATGAGCATGCTGTTATTTTCTGTCTACTTTTAAACTTGAGTTCTACAGACTTAGTAGGCTAGTTGTGTGTGTGTGTATATATATATATATAATCATCCTTAAGACTGGCAGCACTGAAAGCCAACATAGTGGGCACAGGCAAATCACAGTTCTTTTAGGCCCCTGAAGAAATCCTCATATTAGACAACATGTACTGAAGAGGAGACGTGATGTGAAGAGCAGAGCTGTGTCGTGGGTGGGGAAGAAAGATTTAGGAGGAAATTTTCAACTGCTTACCATCTTCCTCCCACCCATGAAATACCACCTCCAATTCACGAGTGTTATGAACATATTATTTGCAGGTGGACTGTTGTAAATAACTATGTGTAGAGCATTATGTATGTTAATTAATCTGTAAGCTGTCTGAAATGACGACTGAGCAATGCATGACCTAAAAATAGCATATATTAGCTAAGGTGGAAGTCAAGGGTTGAGGAAGGGATAAGGAATGTATTAGTCTGTTTGGGCTGCTATAACAAAAACACCATAAAGCAGGTGGCTTGTAAACAACAGGAGGTTATTGCTCGTGGTTCTGGAGGCTGGTAAGTCCGATATTAAGATGATGGGCCACTTGATGTCAAGGGAAGGCTCACTCTCCTGGCCATAAGTGGTATCTTCTAGCTGCATCCTCATATGTTGGAAGGGGCTAGCTAGCTCTCTGGGGTCTCTCTCTTATTTTATTTTTTAAAAATATTTATTTATTTATTTTTGAGACAGAGTCTCCCTCTGTTGCCCAGTCTGGAGTGCAGTGGCATGATCTAGACTCACTGCAACCTCCGCCTCCTGGGTTCAAACAGTTCTCCTGCCTCAGCCTCCCAAGTACCTGGGACTACAGGTGGGTGCCACCACATCCAGCTAACTTTTTGTATTTTTTAGTAGAGATGAAGTTTCACCATGTTGGCCAGACTAGTCTCGAACTCCTGACCTCAGGTGATCCACCTGCCTCAACCTCCCAAAATTCTGGGATTACAGGCGTGAGCCACCACACCTGGCTCAGGTCTCTTTTATAAGGGCACTAGTTCCATTTGTGAGGGCTCTGCCCTCATAACTGAATCACCTCACCCAAAGACCCCACCTCCTAATACCATCATCTGGGAGGTTGGAAATTCACTGTACGAATTTTGGGGGGATACAACATTTAGACCAAAGCAGGAAGGTGTGGGTGGAGAACTATCTCAGAACTGAGATAGTGTCCAGAGGGAAAGTGGGTATCTGTACTCCTTAAAAAAACCAAAACTAACCAGTCAAGGCAGGGACCTCAGAGACAATGGGAGGAGAAACCTCACACATACAGACTGGCGGGGGGACAGGTTCATCTCCAAAGTAATGTCCCAGCCTCTGCCTCTCGCTTATAGGTCAGCGGGTCCCAATTGATGAGAGAGAACCTTGGTGGAGGCTTCTCCACAATGACTCTCATCCTGGAACTTTACCAGGAGTAAATTTGTCTCAATGAGTCTCACCCTGGAATTTTACCAGGAGTAAATTTGTCTGCTGCCCGCTCATTTGTCTCAGAGTCCCAGGAAGTTTTCACGTGTCCTATCTTCTGTGCTTATCTCAGTGCTAAGATAACCTTTTCCCTTGTTTTCTCCTTATTTTGGTTTTCCAGTTCTCTGGAAACAAGAGCTGTGGAGTGGGGACTGGACGACCGTTTGAAAGAGCCTCTCTTTTGCTGTTCGTTCTTAAGGAGGGTTGATGAATGCGTGAGGATGAAGGAGATGATTAAGACCTTTTACTTTTAATTTTTATTGTACTTTAGGTATTGGGGTCCATGTGCAGATCGTGCAGGATTGTTGCATATGTACATACATGGCAAGGTGGTTTGCTGCCTCTATCCCCCTGTCACCTGTATCTGGCATTTCTCCCCATGTTATCTCTCCCCAACCTCCCTACCCCAAGGCTTTCAAAGAATATGAAAGCATGTGGCAAATTCTGTCTTCTCCTAGATGACTTCAGTTTCCTAATCCATAAAATAGGACTAAGACTGCTACTTATGAAAAGGAGAGACAATGTAATAAACAAAGTGCTTTTAATCCTGTATTATTCCATTTTCATACTACTGAGAAAATTGTAAATTACCTGAGACTGGATAATTTATAAATAAAAGAGGTTTAATTGACTCGCAGTACCACATAGCTGGAGAGGCCTCAGGAGACTTATAATCATGGCGGAAGGTGAAGGGGAAGCAGGCACACCTTACATGGTGGCAGGAGAGAGAGAGAATGCCGGGGAAATGCCAGACACTTACCAAACAACTAGATCCCATGAGAACTCCCTAACACAAGGACATCATGGGGGACTCTGTCCCCATAATCCAATTGCCTCCCATGAGGACCCTCCCCTGACACAAACAGATTACAATTCAAGATGAGATTTTTGGGTGGGGACACAGAGCCAAACCATCAGATCCCCAAATGGTAGCTATTATTTAGATGTCCTTTTTTTCGGTCTTGACTGTCACTGACACAGTTCAGGCTCTTATTATATCTTGGTTGATGTCACCTTCCAATCTAGTCTCTGCTTCTGGCATCTGTTTTCCAGTGTGGTGCCAGAGGAATCCTTGTAAAATACAAAGATGCATGTCATGCTACTGCACAGAATCTTTTAATAGCTTCCTCCCCACCCTTTTTAGAATAGGGCCTAAAATCTTCAATGTAGCATCCTTCCAGAAATAGTCTTCTGAACTTGTCTGCTTCTATTCATTCACTCATACTTCCATTTTACTGTTAGGAGCACCCTCTGTGTGCCAGACCCTAAGCTAAGTGTTTCACATAGGTCATTGCACATAATCCTGAAAGCAATGCTTTCCTTAATAGCTCCACTTTGCAGAAGAGGAAAGGGAGGCTCACAGGATGTGGAACTCACCCAAGAAGGCACAGCTAGTTGGCCATAAAGATTTGAAGTCACTCTATTTGGCACTCCCTTCAATTGGAGCTCTTCGTACTGAGCAAAAAATGCCTCAAGGGCAGCAGGGAAGAGAATATCAGCATCAGCAGAAGGGAACCAGGATCAGCACAGGGAGGAAGCAGTGTTTGGAAGAAGGGTGCTGGGGACGGGCTGAGGATGTAACTTCCCTTTCCCAGGTTGGTGATGGGGAGTAGCCACCTCATTTGGAGACAGGACTCTGGACCTGGGCTGCAGGCACTCTAAGTATGCACTGAACTTTGTGTTCCCAGAGGACTCCCAGACTTTTCGCCGCTCCTTCCTTTCCCCCTTTCCCACCCAGCACACATCCTGATGCCTGATGGGCACTCAGTAGACATCTGGGATATGACTATTGCCTCTAGTAGTCACATCCTCTCTCTGGGCTATGGGAAGCTGGAATGGAGGCCTTCAAGGCCCCTCCTGCCCTTCTGTTGGGCAGTTTTTTCGTCTTAGGGAAATCACCTTGTGGCCACCGCGTATGGTCAGCAGGCAGCTTGCTCAATCCTCCTTCCTTCCCAGCAGCCCCATCTTTGTCCTGGTGAAAAGAAATACTCTTCCGAACTTGTCTGCTTCTATTCATTCACTAGTGCATACGTTTTACTGTTAGGAGCACCTTCTATACGCCAGACACTAAGATAGGTGTTTCACACAGGTCATTGCACATAATACTGAAAACAACACTTTTTTTTTTTTTTTTTTGAGACGGAGTTTCACTCTTGTTACCCAGGCTGGTGTGCAATGGCGCGATCTCAGCTCACCGCAACCTCCGGCTCCTGGGTTCAGGCAATTCTCCTGCCTCAGCCTCCTGAGTAGCTGGGATTACAGGCACGCACCACCATGCCCAGCTAATTTTTTGTATTTTTAGTAGAGACGGGGTTTCACCATGTTGACCAGGATGGTCTTGATCTCTTGACCTCGTGATCCACCTGCCTCGGCCTCCCAAAGTGCTGGGATTACAGGCTTGAGCCACCGTGCCCGGCCCTCAACACTTTCTTTTATATCTCCATTTTGCAGAAGAGGAAAGCTGGGCTCCTAGGATGTGGCGCTCACTCCTTTCACCACCCGGCTGGAGGCTTCGGTTTTCCAGCTTGCAGCTTGGGGTGGAAGCCTCTGAGTGCCCTGGTTCCAGGATGCACCTCTCCTTCTGTATTTGCCATTTGAGAGCGCCTTGTAGGAGCCACGACCCAATGTTAACAGGTTAATGCCAAACGCAGAGAAAGATTTTGTTCCTTCCTATTCTACATGAAAGGAATACGAGTCTTCAGAGAGGTTAAGTGACTTCCTCAGCGTCTCGCAGTCAGTCGGTGGCAGAGCCCGGGTGTACAGTGCCTGCTTGTTAGGACCAAAAGCTGGACACGGCTGGATTCACCCCTGGTGGCCAAGCTGGGAAGAGGCATTTAGGGGTCCTTGTGCAGCCTCGTGGCCCCTCCCACTAGGTCCTAGAGCCACATTCCTTGAGGGGAGGCAGGATTCTAGCATCGCCCGGTGCCTTCAACAGGAACCCTTAGCCGGGTTTGGGGTGCGGTGTGGCCTGTGGGGCGAGGTGGAGCGGGGCGGAGACGGACTCAGTCTTCGCAACTCCATTTGCATACGGAGGCGACTCGCTTCCTTCCCGCCCCTCCGCCTCGCTCTTCCCTCCTTCTCCCGTCCTTTCCACTCTGCGTCTTCTGTCCCCCGTTCCTCCCCAGCGGACCCCTCCTTCGAGACTCCCTCGTGGGTTTCCCAGCTCCCGAGTGCTTTGCCCTTGCCGAGCGCGTTTTCTGGAGTCACCTGGGGGAGGGGAGTCCTGGGCAGGGCTGGGTTGGGGAGGACGCCTGGGGCACTGCCCGGCGCTAACAAAGCGAGCCGGTACCGACCGGCGTGGGCGTGGAGCGGGCGGAGCAACCGTAGCCTCCGCGGCCGAGAGTGCAGCGTGTGAGTAGGGGGTGTGGTGGGCGGTGCGGCTCGGGCCCTCCCGGGAGGCGTGTGATGCAAAGGGGCGCGGGAGGATAGCTGAGCCGCGGGGCCGTGGCGCGCCTAGGGCGCAGGGACTCTCTCTCCAGCGTCGCCTCAGCTGCCTTGGCTGGCCACCTCTTGGTTGGGGCTCTGTGTACATTTGTCTGGGCCAAGGGGGCCACCCTGGCTTCTCTCTGGCTCCGCGAGCCTGCGGATCCACAACAAACCCACGTGCGCACAGCCCTGGGGAACACCGATTTCTCCACAGCACAGTCAGTATTGGGTGGGGTGGGGAGGCCGGTGCGCCTCGCAGAGTCCGGGTTCCTTCAAATCCCACCTGCTTGCTGGGTTTACGGCTGGAGAAATTGAGGCCCGCGGCAGCGGAGGGGGCACAGGCACCACAACAAACGCACGTGCGCCCTGCCCAGAGACCTGGACGCACCGCAAACCCTTAGGAGCCGCCCTGCGGTGCCGGGCCATTGTCTCAGCCTCTGGGGAGGGAGTGGCTCTAGAGGCGCCACTTGCTGGAGGAGGGCGAGAGAGACATTTAAAAGGTACCGCTTGGGCATCAGACTAAACTGTCGGACTTAAAAAGGGAAATCAAAACAAGAATGCAGCTACGAAAATGTTACCCCAGGCTGAGAGTCCGTCCCCGGCCGTGGCGCATTCCTTTGGGTGAAGTGGACAACTCCTCACCTCCACCTCCTGGAGGTCTCTTAGAGATGTGGATAGGATTAAGGGTCTAACGGTGCCCCTCAAATAAAGATCGTGCTGGACCTACTATTGTGCCTGTGCTGACCTACTCCGGCGATTGCCTCCGTGTGCATATTTTGGGCGCCTCCTCAGCCTGCGGGAAGAAGGGTCAATGTACGCGTCACCCAGTGCGGTCTTGCGCTTTGCCTCTGAGGTCCGAGTCCGTGTGCCCAGACACCCCAGATGTCACCAGCCCTTTTGGCTTGTTAGGCATTTTCACAAGCAAGGCCAGCTGAGACCTGGTGTTCTAGCTGGGTACGTACAATGTTCAGTTCTGAGTTTATTTGAAAGAAATTCCGAGGTCCGGAAAGAGAGGACTCTTGTTTGTTTTGCTTTCTCTTTGCTTACATATGCTCAGCTCAGCTTTGCAGATGTTACTTAATCAGACACGATCTGCAGCAGGGAGACGGTTTGGGGGTGAATTGGTCTCTGAGGCGTTGGTGTTGGTCAGGTTGTGGGCGTGCAGTGGCGCAGGAACCAAGGCGCTGCGGCCTGAGTGTGTGCCTGCGAGGCGGGTGGGCTGCTGCCTCACCTTGGCTAGCGTGGCTGAAGATTAACCTGTCGGGGTGTGGGGGAGGGGGGGCTGGAGTGCCTCCAACCCTATTCCACTGTTACTGAAAAGGTCTAGAGAGCATCTAGGGAACCTTCTTATTTTGCAGGCAGGAAGCTGATGCCAGAGAGTTCAGCCACCTGTCCAAGTTTAAACCGGGTGAAACGGGCCACAAAGTGTGTGTCTCCCAACTCCCACACTGCATCGCCCTGCCGGCAACTAAAGGCAAAACCGGGATTCTGTGGTTGGCTTAAAACGCAATGGCCTTAGGCAGAACAGAGTTAAACAAAGAGAGTAATTCAAATCGAAAGCTGCACCCTTCCATTATCCCTTTCAAGAGTTCTTTATTCTGTTGAGAAAAAATAGATCTAGTAATTCCTTACTTTCCTTCTAGCCTTTCAAAAGCTTAGTTATTTTTCTCTCCTGGCGGCCCCTTCCCCTCAAATTGGAATAAGGCCAAGTATGGAGACTCAGATGTTTTGCCTCTCATCCCTGTGCCAGGAGGCCTTTGTTTGGGCAAAAGCATGGGCTGTTGACATCAGCCCCACTGGGAGGAAAGTGTCTCTTAGCAAGCTGCTCCTGAGCCAGTCGTGGAAAAGCATTGTTTTCACTGATTTTATTTAATTTTTCAAATGAGAGTCCCATGGAAGTAGCTGCTTGTTTTTGTATTTGGCAGAGAAGTAGGAAAACCAATAAAACACCGAGAAGCCGGGTTTCCCCAAAGTTAACATGTTGTTTTGCACTGTCCGTGTTATCTCCTAGTTACACTTGTTTCTTTTCCTTAGAGTTTCCAGGGTGTTTCACTTTCATGATGATTCTGATAGCAACAGGAGGCAGCCAAATGCCCAGGCAGATAGGGGCAGGTACCCAGTGAAATCCCCACCTTTAGGCCAAACACAGTTTAAAGCCTGAAAACCAGGCTGCAAGTTAAATTCTCGGACCAGACTGAGAACTCGTCCTCCTGTTTGGCGTGCTTTCCCTTTATTGATCCCTACCTTTCACCTGTTTTACATATGCCTACCCTTTTTCCTAATTGGTTTTCTGCACTGCCGTGCCCACCCTAAGTGTGTCTTCACTTTAATCTTTTTTTGCATACTCACAAACCGGTCAGCCTGCACTCTCCATTCTGAGTTCTTAAAAGGCCCCTGATCCAGCCACACTGGGGAACTTTCCTGTCTTCAAGTAGGGGACCAACAGTGGGTCCCCTCTCTGCTGAAAGCTGTTTTCATCACTCAGTAAAATTCTTCTCTGCCCTCCTCACCCTTCAATGTCCAGTGTATCCTCATTATTCTTTGCTGTGGTACAAGAGCTTGGAATTCAGGGACAAGCTATAACACAGGTGAGCTGAGGCAGACCAGCATGGCTGAGTGAGGCACAGGCGGGGGGACGTCACTGGCCAGGAGACCAAGAAGAAAAATCCTATGTCAATTCTACTTGGCACTGCAGTGTAGTTTTCTCAGTAGGACACTGACCCTGTAAGGAACTTCAGAGATCATCTGACTGGACCCTTTTATTTTTCAGATGGGAAAACTGAGGCCTGGAGAAGAGAAATTTCTTGCCCAATGATACACAGCAATGCACAATCTACTTTTAATGTCCCTTTTTGCATAAAAAGGAAATGGTTGCATCAAATCAGTTGTGGTTGGTACTCCAGGGAAAAGTCAAAGTTATGGTTGTTATAACAACATGCTTTAAGTCAGAGAACCAATTCCTTATGGATTTAAGTAGGTTTGGTTATTAAGCAAAGCCAGGGATCCCAGTGGTAGGTATGGTGAATATCGCAGTTATCGTTAGGGATCAGCTTTCTTTAGTGTTTGCTAAATGGTTTCCTTTACTCTTGTACTGGGTTCTTCCGTATCTCTCTTATGCTTCCCCATTAGGGGTCTGCTTTGTGTGAAATCATAAGGCAGGAGGTACTGAGAAGACAGAAGAGAGAGGCTCCACTTAGCTGTTCACGCTACTTAACCTCTTGGGCTCTGGTTTCCTTCTTTGTACAGTAAGAGTCCTCCCTGCCCAATCTCTGCACAGGCTGTTTCAATGGAGTGGAAGATACCTAGGCTTTAGAGGCACCTAAATGGGGGGCGGGGTTTGGGGTCATCTTCCTCTCTTGCAGAAGATATATGATCTATTGCAGAAGATATGGTCTTTTTTTATGGCTGCATAGTATTCCATGGTGTATACATACCACATTTTCTTTATCTAGTCTATTGTTGATGAGTATTTAGATCTTTGCTAAAAGACCTAAATAGGAGGGGTTTGGGGTCATCTTCCTCTCTCCTGTGGTACTTTAAAACCAGCAGGCTGGGCTGGGCCCAGTGGCTCACCCAATAATTCCAGCAGTTCGGGAGGCCAAGGTGGGAAGAGTTCAACCTCCTTGAGTTCAGGAGTTTGAGACCAGAATGAGCAACATAGATCATCTCCTGCCACCACCATCTCTATGTTTTCATAACAAAATTAGCCGTGCGTGGTGGCATGCACCTCTGGTCTGAGATACTTGGGAGACAGGAGAATTGCTGGAGCCCGGGAGGTGGAGGTTGCAGTGAGCCGAGATCATGCCACTGTACTCCAGCCTGGATGACAGAGCGAGACCCTGCCTCAAAGACAGAAAACAACAAAAACAACAGAAGCAATAACAGCAGAAATCCCAGCAGACTGCCTCTGCAGTGTGCAAAGTGAGAGGAGTAAAGTGTGTGAATCTCCTGGGGTGTTGGGGACATTAAGTCACATGACGTGTTTGTGACTGGTCAGACCTCTTGGCAGGCTTGAGTGCTCACCAGCTTTTACAAAACTTTACTTTTTAAACCTTTTATTTTGTGTTCAGGGGTACATGTGCAGGTTTGTTATATAGGTAAACTGTGTCATGGGGGTTTGGTGTACAGATTTAGTCACCCAGATACTAAACCTAGTACGCAATAATTACTTCCCCTGCTCCCTTTCTTCCTTCCACCCTCTACCCTCAAGAAGGCCCTGGTGTCTGTTGTTCTCCTCTTTGTGTCTATCTGTTTTCATTATTTAGCTCCCACTTATAAGTGAGAACATGTGGTATTTGGTTTTCTGCTCCTGCATGAGTTTGTTAAGGATAATGACCTCCAGCTTTACCCATGTTCTTGCAGAAGATATGATCTTTTTTATGGCTGCATAGTATTTCATGGTGTATGTGTACCACATTTTCTTTATCTAGTCTATTGTTGGTGGGCATTTAGGTCTTTGCTGTTGTGAATAGTGCTGCAGTGAACATATGTGTGTATGTGTCTTCATGGTAGAGCAACTTATGTACCTTTGGGTATTTACCACGTAATGGGATTGCTGGGTCAATGGTAGTTCCTGTTTTTGGTTTTTTGAGGAACCCCCACACTGCTTTCTACAGTGGTTGAACTAATGTACATTCCCACCAACAGTGTATCCATATTGCCTTTTCTCTGCAACCTTGCCAGCATCTGTTACTTTTTAATAATATCCATTCTGACTGGTGTGAGACCAGCTTCAGAGTGGTGGAGAGTGACAGTGGGAGAATGTCCCCATAGGGTAAGCTTATGTGCTCAGGTTAGAAGCTTGTCACCTGTCACAAAGAGATGTCAAGTAAGGCCTGCCAAACTACCAAGGGAGGCTTTGAATTGTTGTGAAGTTTGTGTGACTCTAAGGTGACTAGAACTTGTAAAAAAAAAATTAATAGAACCAAAACCATCAAACATAACTGAGTAAAATCTCAAGTCACCGTATTTATGTATTCTGTATTTATTGACAAACAGGTGGTGGGATGGAGGGTGTCTTGTGCTTATCCTGGGATTACAAAGAGCATGGAGACCCATTCTCTGCCCGAGGGACGCCCAGCTGAGCTCCACCACCCTTGCTTAAAACATTTTTGGCTCTCCCTTAGAAATTGCTCTCAGGAGCCTGAGAAAATTCATCTAATTTATCTCAGTATTGACCTCTGGGGTCCCCTTCTCTTCATGAATAAAGGCAAGAGCAGGTGGTAAATGACAGAGTATAAGAGGGAAGACTGCAGAGAAAATCTGGCTCTCTGTAAATATGGGACATGGTTGCATTAAAAAAATACAGGAAAATTCATTAGTGAAATTCACAGTAATTGTTCTGGACCATTAGAGTCCTGAGAATTTGGACAGAGAGTTAATTGTTCAGATATCGTATCAGTGACTTGTTCCATAAGAACTGAATTAGAGGCAAGTGAACTTTTTCTTGCTTGTCTGCAGAAAACGACGATGGCATTCTGACTCCTATGGATGTACTTTAGAATAGGCTTATATCTAACAGTAACATTGGTACAGTTTCACCATAGTAAAATACTGAGATGATTTTCTAAGTAATTATTATACTGGAAAAGTCAGGTTAGCCCTCAAAATCATTGTAGTAAATTACATTTTATTTATTGTTCTGATTATAAAAATAAAGCTAGGGCAGGGCACAGTGGCTCGTACCTGTAATCCCAGCATTTTGGGAGGCCGAGGCAGGTGGATCACCTGAGGTCAGGAGGTGGCCAACGTGGTGAAACCCCATCTCTACTAAAAATACAAAAATTAGCTGGGTGTGGTGGTGCATGCCTGTAATTTCAGCTACTCTGGAGGCTGAGGCAGGAGAATCACTTGAACCCGGGAGGTGAAGGTTGCAGTGAGCCAAGATCGCACCACTGCATTCCAGCCTGGGTGACAGAGCAACAGTCAGTCTTAAAAAAAAAAAAAGAAAAAAA